CCTTGGAATTTTTCTTATGTATTGGGAGCCAAACAATGCAATGAAATTCCACTTATTCAGACTTTTGCTGTTTCATGTAGAGGGGCCAGTTGGAGGGTCTTCTTGTTACAGTGGATATCCATCATCATAATTGTAATAGTAATAATGTTAGCATTTTAATGAGGGTTAATTTTAGGTTCTTATATGAGAATGGATTATCTCCAACTGTAGTGGATTGGAGGCCCGTCATATATGCAACATTCTCAGGGGGAGAATGTCCAACCCCCTTTGCTTAAATTCTAACCCATTTCCCTTTGCATTTTTTATGGTCCTCATTAAAATTCTCATAAAATTTGTCACATTACAAAAATGCTAATATTTTCCTTCTGACCCAGCACATCCCTGGGCTAAAGAAAATTTAATCATCAACTCTTGACTTAAAGCATATATAACTACCCTGCTTCCCCCCAACATAGATAGATATAAATTCCTGCTACTCCAGTTTGGTAATAAATACCTAACATAATAATAAATGGTAAAAATCATTTAGCAGCTATAGATCATTTCATTTTTATGTTTATTCATACATTTAAATTTTCTGAAATAAAAATTCAATGTTGGCAAAATAGTACATTTAAAAAATAGCTGATATTCCAATAAGTAAGCATATAAGAAGCACAAACAGGTAGTTTACATAGTGAAGTAGAAATGGCTACAGTAGGTCATCCTAGCTAGTCCCAAATGTAGAAATGATGGGCCTGGTTTGATTTCTAACATTTTAGCAGTGGACAGGTCTTTGGGGGTCATATCATTGCAGTCCCTCTCATGTAAGAGTTGAATAGAATGTCACACATATAAAGTGATTTAATCACTTGAATACAGAATACATTTCTCAAACATCATATGATATGTTTTATTCCCTGGTCATTATCTTGAGTGTGTTTGATGACCTCACTACAATAGAGTTCTGTGGGTGAACATGACATTTTGTGTTTGCTCATAGCAGTTGCTCAGTGAGCATTTGTTGAACCAGTCAGGCTGGCCTATAAGTTCCACATAGACTGGGATTGTATCTGCAGGGCTGTGTTTTGTTTATTACTAAGAACCCAGAAATAGCCAATTTCTGTTGAGCAAACATTGGCTGTCCTAGGTATGTGGATGAGCGGTACTGTTGCCAACTGTTTTTGATATTTTGCATGCTTCTTTCCTGTTCAGACTTCCCTAGGTTTTCATATCCAGAATGAGGAATTGGTCTGGATTGCTGACACTGGGCTGGAGAGAGGCCTGAGATCTAGGTAATGTGCCGCTTTGGCCACAAGGAGGAGCTGTGGCTCTATTGAAACCTCTGAGCTGGGGGAAGGGAGAGGACTGGGAGTCAGTGGAGGGGTGGGATGAGAAGGGAAGCTAGGGCTTTGGGACTCCATCTTTATGTCATTTAGGGGCATCAGTGGTAGACATCCCAACAATATTAAACTAAAATCTTTTTCAAATTGATTTCCCTCTGTCTTGTGCCAATTCCTGTGTTCTCTTTTAGCAACCTGTTTGCTCTAAGCCCAGCCAAGCCTTGTACTCTCAATACAGAGGCAGACCCTGGTTGTCCCTTGTATGGTTCCCTCAGCACCCTTCCCCGTGTCTGGCTCTGGGCCTGCATCACAATCATGTACTTTAAGTGATGGGCACTATTCCATCCAATCTACCTCCCTCCATGCAGTTGGGCAAAGGCCTCCAATGAGCCTAGACACTGAGGGGAAATGGAATTTTGAGCGATGACCTGTCTGACTGAGCTGGAAGGATGGAGGAAGTGTTCTGTGGCTGAGAGGAGTCCTGGGAGGGAGGAGGATAGAGAGAGAAAATGTATGACGAGGAAAGCAGCTAATAGCAAAAGAGCAGCTGCCAGAGGAATAACCCATCCGGATCCATTGAAATCCATCCTCTATCAGAATCTATATACGGCATGAAAGGGGGAGGAAGGACTGTCCCCTGCAGCCAGGGAAACTGTCAGCGACAATGACATCATAGGCAGAACCACCAACCAAGGCCTATGAGACCAGAGCCCAGCCCCGCCTGCCAGAATATCCCAGTTAGAAGATGCCACTCATCCTGATTCCACCATGGACTACAAGCTGCTCTGCTATGTGGCCCTCTGTCTCATGGGAACAGGTGAGTCCTGGGCTCAAATGGCTGTCCTTGAATTCCAAGCCCTTCCCCTGTGGCTGCAGCAATATCCTTCTTTCTAGGCTTTGTCTGAATTTTGTCCCTTTCCCCCCAACAGTCCTCATGGACACTGGAATTACTCAGATGCCAAGACACCTGGTCATGGGGATGAGAAATAAGAAGTCTTTGAAATGCAAACAACATCTGGGGCATAATAATATGTACTGGTATAAACAGAGTGCTCAGAAGCCACCAGAGCTCATGTTTATCTACAACTATAAGGAACTCGTTGAAAATAACACTGTCCCGAGTCGCTTCTCACCCGAATGTCCAGACAGCTCTCAGTTATACCTTCACATGGATGCCCCGGAGCCAGAAGACTCCGCCGTGTACCTCTGTGCCAGCAGCAAAGACACAGCCTTGCAGAAGCACCTTCTGCCTGTGCAGAAACGGCCTGGGTCCAGTCAGGAAACTGTGGGGCAACCAAGGCTCCGTTCAGCATTTCCTGTGAGAGCCCAGAAAGAAATCTCAGAGCACAATGCTGCCTGTCAATTCACTGGCTATGACAATGTTAAATCCCATGCAGACCCAACAGCCTGTGGCCTGGCCTTGTCTTTAACTTGACTATGCCTGGACAGAAATGTGCAAGTTCTTCATTATCTTCCTATCAGCTTGTGTCCTGGGAAATCTTTCATGAGGCACCTCACACCCTAGTCACAGCAGGCCTACCAAGCCTGCTTCTAATAGATACCTTTCCCTGACTTCTCTTTCCAACCAAGTTAGTCCTGGACCACAGCCCTGATCCCAGCTCTAAATGCGCTCAGACCTTTTCTAAAACACCTCCTTCCCTCACCTTGTGGCTTTGTCAGTTCCCACCACTGAGGATAATAGTTTCCTCAGCCACTTGGGTTGTCTTTCCCTTTAGTCTCTTGATCAGAACTGTGAGTCACAGAGTCCATGCCTCTATATCATGGCTCTGAATTGGCCGTTGGAGAAGACAGTGGGTCCTGCTTGTGTGGTCAGGTCCTCACACCCAGCCTAGCTGACCTAAAGGCCACATTCGTGAAGGACCCTTCTGTAGCTACAGTATTTCACTTAGGGCCTGTGGGCCTGCATGCTCCAGGACACATGGGGCTGAGCCAGGGGCATCACATGTCTGCACAGGCACTAAGGCTCAGGGTGCCAGCCCTTACCTAAGAACACCAAAGCCTTGAGCTGGGAACACCCCTATTCCCTGACCTGCCATGTGTACCAGGCTGCTCTGTTTTGTGGCCTTGGGAGCCGTTTAGTCCAAGAAACAGAAGGAGATTTTTGATGTGGGCTTTTCAATTCCAGATCCTTATTATTTCCTTCATCTGGACAACTAACAGAAACCATGAATGTGCAAGTCAAGCAGATGCCAAGATCCCTATTGTAGAGATTAAAAAAAAGAAGCTGGTCTTTGAATGTTCTTAGAAAGTGAACCACTTTCTGATGTATTGGTGTCAACAAAACCTAGGAGGAGGCGTAAGATTGATCCATCTTCCAGTGCTGAATTTATAGGCAAATCACATATGCTTAATGAAACCTGTCTCAAAAAACAAACAAAGTTACCATTAAAAATTCCTTCTAATAGAGTCTAAGCAAGCTAGACTTGACCCTTTACAGTGGATTGGGTATTTGTCCTCTACTTTCAGTAACAGGGGTGCACAGCCATAGTCACTCCTTGTCCATGCACTCTCTCCATCACTGACTCCAGTTTCTGGGAGTCTTTCTGTACATCTGATGTTGCAGTTGAATCCTTATCAGATTCTGTTTTCCCAAGTCCCTTTGTTTATTTATTTTTATTCATTTAGACTGGCCATTACCTCCTAGAAGACTAAGTATAGAGGGTTAGAATATTTTATTTCCTACTTGGGCTTTGGAGAAAAACTTAGAGAAAATTAATCACATATACATGTGTTCTCACATCTGGGGAAATGGGCATTATATTATTATCAACTAGTAACCCTGCACAGGAATCCAGGTGCCAGTAGCTCGCCAGTAGCTTGCTGCTGCCTTCCAGTAGCTCTCTGCCCACTGCCGCCCTCCTGTAGCTACCCTTACCTGCCTTCCCCTCACCCCCCTCATAGCTCCCTGTCCTGCCCCCTTCTGTAGCTCTCCACTGCCTGCATGTAGCTTGCTGCCCACCCTTCTGCTGATCTGTGATCTGGATGTTACCCAGTCAGTCCTTATGCTTCACAGCTAATGACCATTTGCATATTACATCTTTATTATATAGGATGAACAGAGGCAAGAGAGGATCTCTGAAAAGAGAGAGTAGAAAAGAAATGCTCCAGCAGTGTGGGAACAGCAAGTAACATTATTTTTTAAATTGTGGAGGGGGGAATAAGCTGATTAGTGGGCACCTTACAAAGAGGCCTGTCTAAATAATCTGCCTGAAACTAGCTGTTGGGGTCATCAAAGATAAAACAACTTCTGCCCTAACCGGTTTGGCTCAGTGGATAGAGCATCCGCCTTCAGACTCAAGGGTCCCGGGTTTGATTCCGGTCAAGGGCATTTACCTTGGTTGCGGGCACATCCCCAGTAGGGAGTGTGCAGGAGGCAGCTGATCCATGTTTCTCTCTCATCGATGTTTCTAACTCTCTCTCCCTCTCCCTTCCTCTCTGCAAAAAATCAATAAAATATTTTTAAAAAAACAAACAACTTCTGCTGCCTGGCTAGCATGGCTCAGTGATTGAGCATTGAACTATGAACCAGGAGGTCAGAGTTCGATTCTTGATCAGGGCACATGACCAGGTTGCAGGCTCCATACCCAGAGGGGGCGAGCAAGAGGCAGCCAATCAATGATTCTCTATCATCATTGATGTTTTTATCCCTCTCTCCCTCTCCTTTCCTCTCTGAAATCAATAAAAATATTTTTTAAAAAACAACTTCTGCTAACTATTAATCATCAAAAAACCTTGGGATGCCCTAGCCTGTTTGATTCAGTGGATAGAGCATGTGGACTGAGTGGTCTCAGGTATGATTACTGTCAAGGGCATGTACCTCAGTTGTAAGCTTGATCCCTGGTCCTGGAAGGGGCACATGCAGGAGGCAACCAATAGATGTGTCTCTCTCACATTGATGTTTCCCTCTGTCTCTCCCCCACTCTTCCACTCTCTTTAAAAAACCAATGGAAAAATATCCTCAGGTGAGGATTAACAACAATAACAACAAAATCCTAGGGAGTCTATTTGCAGTCCATCTCCATGACCACCTTTTTTTCTCTTACAATAAAAAATCCAAAATCAGCTAGAACTGGATTTTTGTACCTTTAAATTTAAAAAGAAAAACACAGAGCAACAAGCAAATGGTAAAATCATACCTAATTTAAACACATCCTAGGACTCTTGCCCTCTTGTATCACTGCTAACTCTACATCTTGGTTACCAACAAAACACACCACATGGGGGCACTGTGGAACTGCTGAGCTCCAAAAGCTTCTGGGGCAGAGCTAGGGATCTGAGCTAGCTGCCTGGGGCCAAGAGGGTTAAGCAATAGCCTTGTTTGGTGTTTTATCTGCTATAAGACTTAATACCATAAACACTAATCTGCAGGTGCTGTCCCAGCCAGGAGTCATGAATTTCCATTGAGCAATGATTAGGGGGGCTCTCTGAGCTTGCAAGGGAAAGTGAAGGGTGCAGAGCTGGTAGGAGGCAGCCTGCATGCCCTGGGAGCAGGGACAGGTAGAGGAACGATTGCCTCATGGAAAAGCAAAGGAGCTGTGGGAATCAGCATGCTATCAAAACCCAGCCCACCTCCAGCACCCACTCCAGCCACACATGTCATGCAAGAGGCTTAGCAGGACAAAGCAGGGTGCCTAGATCAGCTGAACCAGGGACGTGGCAAAGGAGCCCAGGCTCATGGAAACCAGCATAGACAATGACATTAGAGCAGTGACATCACTGCCTAACTTCCAATCAGAAGGTGCTCAGAACATTAGTTCTTAGAGGACCAGAGCTCTGAGCAAGGAGACTCCTGCCCAGTTCTGCCCCACTCTGCATGGGCTCCAGGCTCTTCTGCTGTGTGGCCCTTTGTCCCCTGGGAGCAAGTATGTCCTTGGCACAGGTGGGGCATCTGTTCTAAGCCTGAAAGCACCTGCATCCAAGGCAGGATCAGGGTCCCTCCCCTGTTCTTTTTCCAGCTTCTGTCTCCTTCCCTCACAGGCCCAGTGGATTCGGAAGTCACTCAGACTCCAAGGCACCTGACAAAAGCCAGAGGACAGACAGTGACACTGGGGTGCTCCCCTATCTCTGGGCACTTTGCTGTGTCTTGGTATCAACAGCCCCAGGGCCAGGGCCTCCAGTTCCTCATTGGGTACTACAATGGGGAGGAGAGAGCAAAAGGAAACATCTCTGATCGATTCTCAGGGCAACAATCTGATGACTACAGCTCTAAGCTGACCATGAGCTCGCTGGAGCGGAAGGACTCTGCCCTGTATCTCAGCCAGGCTAGGAAAACAGTGGAATCCAGGAGTGGAAGGGGAGGGGACTCTAGGGGTAAGGGAATTTCTGCCCTTAATAGAGAAGGATGTGAATGCATGAGACTGTGGGTAGTCAGCCACTGAGAGGCGCTGTGGACCCACAGTACTGCAAGCTACCTGGGAGGGGTTGAAGGAGTGGCCCAGGAGAAGACAGTTTAAGGGAACTTTGGGGCTACATGCCTGCACTGGGGAACCAGTTTGAGTTCATCAAACAGGCAAATGCCTGTGGGCCCTGCGGCCTGTGGAATTCAAAGACTCCTCACTGCCCAGGAAGTGCACAGGTGCTTGAGCATTCTTATGAACCAAGGAGGCCGCTTCCCTGAGGCAGACTTCCCCACCCCCCCCCTGCCCCCCCCCC